ATCTCAGCAAGCATTCACCCATGATGAAAAGCCGCAGCGCATCCCTCCGGGCATTTGGGTTTTATCTCGAGACGGGTAATATCCTTCTGTGACCTGTGATCACATGTACATTTAACATGCTATAGTGGTAATTTTCAAGGACCCGATTTTGGTTGTCCCTCCATAACTTTTGACTGAGAGCGAGTAAAAGAAAAAGAAAAACAGCTTCGGAACGCCCGCGGCAAGGCGCAAAAGAGTAGCGAGTCGCCAAAAAAAAAGGAAAAAAAGAAAAAAAAAAGAGAAAAAGATGCTCGCGGCGGGTCTCGAACCCACGAAATTGGCCCTAGAGCAACTTTCCCCTTATGTATGTTGCTAATCCTTTTTGTTTTTTTCGCACCAAACCACCCACACGTGCACAGGAACGCCCTCAAACACTATGCAATTGCCTCGACCGCACCTATAGCGTACATACATCACAAAAATTGGCCGTTTTCAACAAAAATGTTCCATTTTTGTACAACATTCCCACCAGAAACACGGAAAAAAACTGAACAAATACAGCTCAATGAACAAGAATGCGCCATCGACTCTACGGCCTCCATTCCTTCGGGGTCGGGCGCCTGTGCGACTTGTACTTCTTGTACGTCTTCTTGCCCTCAGGCCCTTGCACACGCGTCTCGCGGTACATGAGGGCGTGTGTGTACGCCTTCTTGCAGTAGCCCTGGACTACCGAAACAGCCTGTCTATCCTTCTCTGGTCTAAAACTCAGCGGCACGTTCTTGCGCAAGCATTCCAACGAATATTTGCAGTTCTTTCGAGTCCAGTCCTTCGCTCGGCCCCAAACAAGCTCGATGGGGTTACACTCGCAGTGGTACTTAGGAAGCATGAGACAGGCCCCCCCGTGGCGCTGCATCAACAGCACCAGACTAGAATCAACTTCCTTGAAGTCCTTCTGCTCTCCCAAAACGTGCTCCATGCTCTTGCTGAGGTCCTGCTTTTCGCCCGAGCCCCCCGTCTTACTCATGCCTTTGACCAGGAGCCCCCTCTCCCACAAAATCTGCCGCATTCCTTTCAACTTTCCGACATATTGCGCCGGCTTGAGATGCGGGGAGTGGAAGGGGGGATCGTCCCCCCTCCGAAACACCAAGTGCTGTACCGTGCCGGCTGGGAGGTTCGGGGTATCTTCGAGGATGGTCACGGGGTCCATCGGCGCAAGCTCTTCTCCGTTCCTCACACCACCGACACCCAAGTTCATTCTCTTCACCGACGGTGCGCCGACCTCCATGCAGTCATGACAGGACGACCAGTCGAACAGGCCTACAGGCTTGTGCTCAGGGTAGAGAACTGTGAACATGTCGAGCACGTCTGACATGTGGTCCAGCATCCTGAGCCCGGTCCAGTATCCCTCCTTGTTCTTGCCGTACTCGAAGAGGTGGTAGGACCAGTACTGTCCATGCTCGTCTTCATGAAGCATGTCGATGGGGCGGAACTTCTCCACCTTCACGTTTTCCCCCCGTCGCTTCGCGGCAGCTGAGGCGGCGCATCGTTTCCTGCGGTTGCGCTCCGCGTCCTGGATCTGTGCCCGCGACGCCGAGAAGAAGCCAACGTTGTGGATTATCGTCCCCGACACCATGATCCCCTGGCCTTGTGACTTCTTCACGGGCACATGCTGGCCGTCCCGATACCACGCGCGCCTCTGGTCGTCGTTGGCTGCAAATACAAACAAGAAACCGACAATTTAGGGGCGGCAGATGTGGCGCTGTCAACATGTGTGATTAAATTTAAAGTCCCACAATTGAATTGCGAGCAAGATTACTGTTCGCGCCCGGAATTTACACCTAAATTATCGAACCCGCTTTGCTCCGTTTAAAACTAACCTCGAAATATGCTCTCGTCCTGGTAGAGAAGCATGGCCCGCCTCCCGTCAGGGTAGGTTTTCTTGCTCTGCACTCTGGCTTGCAGGTCTTCGGGCAAGTCTGCCAGCGCAGACTCGAGATCATCGACACAAACCCAGACACCACCATCCGGCAAGCGCTCGGTCTCCTCCACCGTCTCGACGTCAACACCCCAGACGATCGCTTCATCCTTGCCCATCGGAATCCATACCTCCATGTAGTCGCGGGTGTCGAACAGCGCCGGGAGGAACTCGTCGTGCCGGTATTCAAGGGTCTTCTTGTCGTCGTGGCCATCGAAGTACAGCCCCTTTTTGCCGTCGTGGTATTCGCATCCCATCTTCTTCAGCCACTCCGTTGCCGTAGAAAGGGAGATTTGGCGCTTTGGCGGCTCGTTCTCCTTCACTTCCACCAGCTTTACTCTCAATCCATGGAAAGCGTTGATGCCGTCCTTTTCCTGCTCCTCCAGCATCGGCATGATGGTGCTGTTCACCCACTTGCGGAAATCCTCCGCCGTTTTATTGGCTTGCCCACTGAGTATCCCGCAGTTCTCGAGCACCCAGCCTTTCGCGAGCTTGAAGACGCCTTCGTCGAGCTCCAGCAAAAACCTGCGCTTGAAGCGACCTGTGTCAGGTTTTTTTATGCGTCCGTGGGCGATGAAATCCCGCTCCCACTGCTGTACTGTTTGAACGGTTCTCCGTCCAACCTCTGCTGCGATGGCCAGTGCATCCTTCCGGTCGAAGCCGTCGGCCTGCTGGGTGTACAACTGGATCAATGTCATGGCCACTTGCACCGTGTGCGCCAGCTGAAAGTTGGACAAACAGCTGTCTTCCGTACTTGTATCCTGCGCGAAGGGGGAGCGTCGAGGGTGGCAATAAACCTTTAACTTTCAGTGGCCAATTTGTTTGACAGCAGTATTTCAAGTGTAATTTTTCAAGGTTGAGTGCAGGCAAATTAATTTGCAGAGCGGGTGCGAAGTACGTGCAGGTTGGTCAAACTCCGACGGCGGAGGTTGCAGATTGGTGCCGCCCGAGAAACCCCGCCACGATAAATTAATAATAATGTCGTGAGATGAATTTACAGCAGTGTAGATTATTACAGACCTCAGAGCCCCCAGGTTCGAGCACGGCATGCGTGAAGAAAAAAGAGGATCACACTTAATTTAGACTGTGTAGACTACTGCCCTCACATCGTTCATCTCCGCGGCTGCGCTGATCGTCTTCGCCACATCACTCACAACGCCGTCGAGGAGCTCGATGCTCTCAGCGCGAAACTCGTCCGCCGCTGCCGCCAGCACCCGAGCTTTCATCTCCGCCCCTTTCGCACGCCTAATCTTCTTTGCAGCTTGAGATGTGCTGTACGTGCCCTTGTTCAGGTATCTCCTCTTCGCCTCTTCGGCCCACTCGGGTTCGAACTCTATCCACGCCCGCACGACTTCTTCCAGACTGCTTGCAGAGAGGTTGAATGCCCCAGGAACGGCCTCCTCTAGTTCCTGCCGAAGTGTCAACGCACGCATCCGCCGGGCCGCCCTCCCCAACTTTCCAAAGGGCCGCCCACTGTAGTCCCGTTGTCCACCCCAATTTGGATCTCGCGATCTTTGCGCGCCTGCGAGACCGGGTTCTTGTAGTGAACCAACGGCTGGCGCTGCGGCTCGAACTGCGGGTGCTGTTGAATCCCGCGGTGGTGCTCTCTGCACCGGGGCGTACGCTGAGTTCTTGAGTTGAACGGCATCCCAGTCAGCAGCAGTCACCTCGTCTATGATGATTCCCTCCGCGACGGCGTCGCGGCCGCGTGGCTTCCCAGACGTGATCCAGCGGCTGCGTCATTTCAACTCAGTATTGTTGGCTCGCGACCTTGAGTGCAGCACTAACCGATACTTTCGTGGCTTCTGTCTCTCGATGCTGAGCTTGTCGCGCAGCGTGTATCCGTCGGGAACCAACTGCTGCAGGCAGGAGACCCTCTCTTGGTCGACTTCCATTTGGTTGCCGGTCTTCACAACAACATGTGTACACCTACCGGCGGCTGTGTGCGACGCGGCCCAAGCGGTGGTTCGGCCGCGATTTTTTTGAAATTTGAAACTTGGTTTATTTCTGTCTAGGGCCTGGCAAAAAAGAGTTCTGAACCAGGTGATTTAGAACCAGTTTGTTTCAAGGATTCCAAAAAAATACTTCATATATATTTTTTTCACAGCGGTGGTGGGGGCACGACAAATCGTAATTTACCGGTTCTGCCGCGTTTTTGGTGAAACGGTATATTCGGCATAACTCGTCACCAAGGTGTCTGTGAAAGCTAAAAGTGGGTTCATTCGAAAGCCCTGGTTCATAGCTTTCGAATGGTGTATATTTTGTTAGGTAAATAACCAGGCCCCAGAGAGAAATTTATCAAGTGGCCTGTGGGCGGGTCCAGGAAAACTGGAAAACTACCACTTACGAAAAAAAACATCCGGAAAAAAAAACGATGTGGTCGCGGGGTTATCGGGAAAGACGTCGGGCTTTAGTTGGGCCGGAGAGGTTTTGTTTCCCATACAGTGGGGGGGGCGGATGAGGTGGTCGTCCTGTGGAAGGCTGGTGAAACTCTGTGGCACAGACGGAAGAATCACTGCACATTCGAGGCGGCTGCCCTTCGCGATGAGGCGGTTAGTATCAGCTGCCCCATCACCGTATTATTCGGAGACCCACACTGCTGGACGGTCGCCCCGGTGGTCTAGTGGGTAGCCTCGCAGCCTGCTAAGGGCCAGGTAATGGGTTCGAGTCCCGGCAGAGTGATAAATCCTGGTCTAGGATGAAAGCGACGCGCTGCAAAGCTCGTTTGTTAGTAAACCACAATCGACTTCGTAAGTCGCGAGGGAAGGGATTGCTGTACCCTTCTCGCGATAAAAATACATCAGGCATGAACCGCAGGAGGGGGTCCAACCCCCCCCTCCTATGTGACCCCGGTTGGGTCGTCTAGCTCGTAGAAGTGAAGGATAGGGGCCAGAGGGGCAGACGACAGAGTCCAATGATGGGAGAAAAAAAAACAAACAAAAAAAACTGCTGGACCGTAGGTCTGGTCGATGAAGTCGGAACTGATGTCTTTGAAAGTTCGGACGAAAAAAAACAAAAGAAAAACAGGCAGTCTTGCTGCTGCTGCTGCTGCTGCTGCTCCTGTCTGGGCCAAATACTCCGTATTACTTGAGGAGCCGTCTAGCGGCGTAGGTTCCACCTCTCATCATGCCGAACACGCTTCGCGAGAGAACACCCCCCCCGGCTGCTCTGCTCCCTATCGCCAAATTAAAGATATCTTCTCGCGATCGTACCACCATGCAGGCCAGACCGACAACTCAGACCGTGAGATACCCAGACGCACGGCATCATCACACCCTAAAGGTCCCCTTTTCTCTATCATCTGCAGATCCGACAAGCCAGCCCCGTACCTACTTCTAGAGCATGAACAACAGGCCAAGCAGGACAAAATGAGAGAGATGAGATTCCGCCACATTACAAGAAGCCGAAAACAGATCGATCTTCAATTTAGGCGAGATCCGGTTTCGTCTCACGATCTCCAACTCACCCAAACCTTTCTCCCCCATCAGAAAAAAAAGGAAACACACCATACTCACGCAAGCAACCGCAACACCCCAAAGCACTGGTGGATTGCAGCGGGAGTGAGTGAGTGCTAGCCCCCCCCCTCACACCCACAAAATTCAATACACCGCCAAGCTGCTGTCCACTTCCTTCGCCCATCGAATGATCCCACCGTCCATGTTGAACAAGCGAGAAGAGGAAACGCCGTGCTCGCTCAACGTCGCGCAGGCCTTGGAGCTTCTACCGCCCACCTGCCCATTTCGGTAGCGGCGGGGAACACACAAAAAGCAGCGACCCCAGCAAAATAAATCATTCCAGACCACTTTTTCTCCTCTTCCCTTAGCACGTGTGCACACATTCATTTTTGGGAAGTCGGCCTACGAAGGCGCCCGCGTCAGTTGGAACTGGTACGGACGCTAGAAAGCACTGAGCAGAAAAAGCAGCGGCTCCAGTTAAATTCACTCCACCCCAACTTACAAGTTCTTTTCAAAAGGGCGTACAAACCCTTGTGGGGTAATTGGCCTCGGAAGGCGCCCGCAGCAGTTGGATCGGTACGGATTATTATAAGGCACTGAGCAGAGACCGGAACGGGTTGTTGATGTCGAGGCGCAACAGCAACGATAACCGGCGGTGTAACGAGACAACGTGCTTCGCGCAGCCAGTCACCGCAGTTTGCTGCCGATGTGCAAGGCGCACGTGCTTGCGCTAAGAGGGCACCCTTGTGTGAGAGGAGCAACGAGCACACAACATGCCCGAAAAAAAAACAGCAAAAAAATAAATATATATAAAATGGGCTGTGCGCTTGCCTCCCACGTGGGTGTGCGTCAATAGCGGTGGGAAAGATCACACCACCATGGCCTATCGACCGCCTTGAACCTTCTCCGTTGCATGAGTCACCATGCTCGCGGAAATGCTGCCGGCTCTGCGTGCGGTACTCTGAATATGTTTCCTTCCTTGGCAACTACTTTGATTGATTATCACAGCGCATTTTTTTTTTCTTCTGTTCTTGGTCTCTCGGATGACAAGGACAAGCCGTCGGCGTACCGGTCGACCCCGGCATGTACCACATGAAGAGGAGGGGACCCCGGGAGGGTCAGAATCTCGTCAAAAAAATTGATGGGCATGGCCGGCCAGCCTTCATACGATGAGCCACGGACCGACCCACCTTGCAGTGTACCAGCAAGTCGCCCTCGGAGGGAAGCTCGTCGAGGATAGTGGCCACCTTGCGGTGCGGGCACACGAGGTCCACGAACGGCAGGCTCGCGATCTCCGCCTCCTGGGGCAGCCTGTGCAGCCATGGTTCGTGAGCGCAACGTTCAGGGCTAAGTGTTGAGGGATAGTGTTTGCGCCGCTGTTCGTGAGCGCAACGCTTGAGGGTCAAGTGGTCTAGTTTTTGGGGGGGGAAACGCAGAGCCTGGGGGGTGGTAAATGCTCTCACGCAAGAGGGCTCGCAGGAAGGAAGAGACAGCCCGAGCTGATTCCTTGCGCCAAGAGAAGACGCTCCAAACAGCAGTCGCATGCGGTCATCCATATTGCTACGCCCGTGGTGTCTCCTTGCAATGCCATGGGTGTCATGCAAACACACACACAAGGAGGATGATTGTGAAAGCACTCCAAAACGAACTCGAGTGCAAGGTAGCAGCCTTGGTAGACACGTGCAGTTTTTTTCTGATGCTACAACCGCTTCTGTCTATAATCCGGAAAATAGCTTAGACTCCCCCATGCCGCCCCCTCACGGGGTCCCAGTTCATGACAGTTAGACAAGTCGTTTCTGTTTTCAACCGCACTGACTGGCGTCTACTCATTGGTCGGCGGGTTAGCGCCGTCGATGCAAATGAATAACACACACACACACACAAGGGTGCGCAGTCCACGCACCGCGCGCAGAAAAAAACACAGCACATAGCACACGACGTCCCCCCACAGGCGACGCTGCAACCCCAGACCATAGTCCAAGCCCACCTAACGTCTAGCACGAACGGCGCCCAGCCCCCTTGCATCCTCGCCACAACTTCCTTCGGCGAGACTCGCTGAAACCCCTCTTCCGCCTCCGCCTCCTCCTCCTCTTCTGGGGCCGCAGGTGTCGCCGCCGAAGTTGACGTTGTCGTTGCCGCCGAGAAGCCGCAGAAGCCTTGGTAGTCCACCAGGGAGGTCACCGCCGGCCGCCCGGGTGTTTTTCGTAGGTCAGACTCCTGCACCGCACAGGGGGGGGGG